CCACCCCCACCCCCTCTTCTAGTCAAACATTAACTCGACATCGGACTCACTTCACACTCACAATGAAACTGTACACAATACATACGACAAGCGTATTGACACAATATTAATTAAATATAAGATATTATTATAATTTAGTACACGACACATTACAATGATGAAACTGAAACATCCATCACATGTTTGTGTCTACTTAACATAATAATTTTTCCTAACTCTAGCTCTTGTAAAATTTCTAGTCCAATAGTGAGCGAATTTACAGCAATTTACGCGACCGTTATATTTATAATATAGTAAATAAGAGAGATTTACCTATTTGTTAGTATACAAATAGAAATGGGCATAATTCTCTCTAAAGTTCTAATCTAGTCCAGACATTTATGTCAATATTTTAACTATTCCGACCATAAATAATATATTAACAATAATTATTATACCTATATACAAAAAAAAATCATTTAAATACCTACACCGTGTTCCGAGCCGACGAGATATTTGAAAATCTCTATACCTTATATAAAATATATTTAGTTACCAATGTTTATTTAATGTTATTTATATTGTTTTTAATTTATTGAAATATTTTATGTAAATTTTTGTTGCATTTTCGTTATGTTTTAATGTATTTCTTATTTTCTAGATGTAGTTAACTCTAAGCGAAAGAAGCCATTGTCTCCATTCGCACAGAATAGTAAGTTCTTCTTGTCTTATGTACACATATTTATATATTTATATTTGTCTATCTTATTGTATGGGAGATAATATTATTTTGTTTGTCTATGGTACAAAATGTCCGTTGTCTTTGGTACTGTGAAAATTCTACATGAATTAAAAAAAAATTGTGGTTTTTCAAAGACAAAGGGTGATGTCAGTGTGGAAACTCGCAGTAATTGTTGGTTGTTTGGTCGTAGGATAGTTCTGGTGGCAGTTTTCTTACTTCTTACTAACATTCATTTAATTGACTTATTTATTATTAAGTATAATTTATTTGCTTTATTATCTAACAAATACAGTCAATTATTTTATTATGTGGCAGGAAATATTGCGATGCGAGTTTCACCTTAATTATATTTCATAGTTCAACTAATATTTGACTAGGTCATTATATTTTGATATATTAAATTAAAATTTGATGATTTGGTATGAAATTGAAGATTTTTAGGCATTTTTTTTGGGATTTAAAAAAAAATATCATAATTATGTTGCTTTTTATATTCTATGAATAATTTTATTAAAAGAAAATGTAATTTTTTTGTAGTTTTTAGACATAATTGCTATTAAATGGTTAATAGTACAAAATTTTTTAACATAGTGCTAATATGAAAATGTGTGCTCGACTCCCAAAGAGAAGTTAAGTCTCTCTTATATTGTACAATTTCAAATTTAGCTTTTAAGATATAACGATTATGTAATAAATATATTATGTACTACGTATTATAAATGCCAAGATATATTTAAAAACTAATATTGTTTATGTACTAAAAATTTTACTACGAAATTATAATAAATATAAAAAGCTAAAGCTTTCTACATATAAAAGCTTTGAGCTGATTATAATTTGTTACCAAATCTTTAAGAATGGTAGCTATTTTTTTTTCAAATGGCAACTATAAGTGTAAAATAATTCAGGGTTTTTAAACTGTTTTTTAAATGTGCGTTCTAAATAAATTGTTATTATTTTTAAACATATCTTTGTTACAAATTTTCTAGACGTGTTTAGAAGAATTTACAACTAGTTTAATTAGATGAAGGAATTTTTGATTGATTTTTTTAATGAGTACGTCCAATGAACAGCTCCATTTCGATGACTTTTACATTTTTGTAGTGTACTTTTGACAGGAGGCTTGAGTGTTGCAAGGATCTGTAATTAAAATGCTACTAAAATAAAAGAAAAGTTTCTTTTTTATCTCAATTTCACGTTTCATCCTTGAATTTGGGCTTAAAGGTACGGAATATATGAACATTAGGCATGGTTGTGTTACTGTTGTTACGTCTAGTGTTGGTTTTTTTAAAGCTTGTTCATTTTGGTTTTGTTATATTTTTGTGACACACATTGTCGTATTAGCGTTGTGAGTTTTATTTTTATGCATGCTTTTATTTACTAAGCGATCATTTGTATTAAGTTTAACGCAATATTAACAGCATGTTTAGCTTTTTTAATTATTTTCTATGTTAGTTATAAGTAATAAGCCAGCACATGTATACTCTAAATAAATGATGCATAAAATTTATCAAAAATTAGTAGGAAATAATTTTTTTTTAGAGAATACAAGTGTAAATGTTTGATTTTTTTTACTTTTCCTGTAAATAATATTAACAATACAGATGTAGTTAATTGTTCAATGATTTAGTTAAGTTGTAAATATACTATTATTTAATTAAATTCAGTATAATTAATATGTTATATGTATTACAGTTACTTTCAAAATGGACGTCGGCGGACAGATCAAGACCGAGCCTCGAGGTGAGATCCTATTAATTAAACTTGATAAATAAGTTTCAATAAAATTATGATATTAAAAGTTCCTTTGAGGAAAAAAAGGCAAATTCGTAGTTCCTGACGTTATGTCTTTCAAACAGTCTTTAATTCTATCGCATTAGTTGATATATAATGTGTATTTTGCAGAGTCTCCGAGTTACGTGCGCAGTCCGGCGCAGCACGCGTACCCGCCGTACGAACAGGTAACTTACATCATTTATCATGTCACTGTGAACATACACAGTAGTGCATTATCTATGGTATTGCTTCAGCAGTGGGGCATGGAGATGCCGCAGCAGCTGGGCGTGGCGGGTCCGAGCCCGGGCGCGCAGTACCACGCGCAGGGCATGTCCTGGATGGAGCAGAGCTACCTGCAGGTGGCGCCGCAGCTGCAGCCCCACTCCCCCGGCGTGCAGTCCCCGCTCTCCCCCGCCATGCCGCACCACCACCTCGCCCTCCCGCACCACTCGCCCGCCATGGGACACGTCTCCCCGGGAATGGGCCAGATGTCTCCCGCCATGGGACACGTCTCACCGGTCATGGGACACGTGTCTCCCGGCATGGGGCACGTGTCGCCCGGCATGGGGCACGTGTCGCCCGGCATGGGGCACGTTTCTCCCGGCATGGGGCAGATGTCTCCCGGCATGGGGCAGGTGTCCCCAGCTATGGGGCACGTCTCTCCCGGTATGGGGCACGTGTCCCCGCAGCTGAATCACGGCCAGGGGCAGTACATGCAGAACATGGGGCAGCAAGCTCTGATACAGGTTACTTTGTTTAATTCATTGTAGTTAATTGGTCAATAAATTTAATCTAGTAAAAAAAACCATTGTATTAAAGAAATATTACTAAAAGAAGGAAAAATACTTCAGTGGTACCAACATAATGAGACGATAGTGCGCGTTATTAAAAAGTGTAATGTTTTAAGGAGTTGGAGGCGACGTCGACGAGCACGCCGTCGCTGTCGAAGCTGCTGGAGGTGCAGGGTCAGGCGGAGGGCGAGGAGATGCGGCTCAGCTCCGACCTCTCGTTCCCGATGTGCGGCGCGGACCTCAGCGACAGCCTGCGGGATCTCTCCACCAAGGACCTGCTCAGCAACGCGGACTGGCCGCCGCACGGGGGCGGGTAACATCTCGCTCCACACAACATAAGAAGAAATAATATCTGCACATCTCATCCTGACTACTAACTAACAGGATTGTTTTTCTTTCTATTTCTATGTCTCATCGGTATTTTACATTTTTTTTATGTTTTATGGTAAAATGTAAAAAGTTGAGTAAATTCTTAAATTGTATTTGTTTTTATAATACTTATGTACATTCAGCATAGTTCAATGTTAGTTGACTGCTTCTAGTATAGTTCTTTTCAATTATCATAGCGGCTCAAGTGAAGAGCCGTCGATATATTTGATAACTGTAATACCAAGTTTGATATAACTTACGAGCTTAAATGTTTTCTTAGTTTTAAATATCATCAAATTAATGTATATGTAGAAAGTTTTTGAATTCACCTGTTTTCGTTCCCGCTATATGAACATATTTCATACAAAAATTCTGTTACAACCCCAAGGAAGTTATGATACATTAAGGATAAATAATTAAATTTTCTATATTTGTGTATTTTGAATTAATTCTTTTGTAAATATCAATGTAAACTAAAGTTAAATTGCTTAATTTTGCAATATTTTCATATTTTTATATTAATGTAAAAACCATCTTACATAATTATGTGATTGCGCATAATAGAACATCACAATTAATTATAAGTAAAAATAAACATCACATTTATATAGTTTTATACTAAATTTATTAAAATATCTGCTTATGAAATAATTAACTCATGAATTACTGTGAAATCACCAGATTTGTGTATTTTACTGTGGGTTTCTGAGACCAAAATCCACATTCAAAACATATCTTATTATCTCTGTTGTGTCAAATGTATTGAGAAGGATGACGATATGTTTTATACAGACATTTCGATCTCAGAAAGCCACAGTTAGTCTTTCATACTGTTATATTGTTCAGTCTCTCTATTTGTTGAAGTTTACCTACTGCAATAACAAGGCCCACAGTTTTCTATATAATTAGTTATGTATTGTAAAATTGAACATGTAATCTGATGACAATACAATCTCTACTGGATTAGAAATTACTATTGTAATTGATTACTTTAAATAAAAACGACATTATCTACTTGATAGTGTGTTCAACAGTTTTTGAGGATAAATTTATGAACTATCACAATCAGTCTGACCTTTATCTCTTTATATTACTAAATTGATTCCTTTGCTGAGGTCTTAGCTCTAAAATTTGCAACTAACTATTGTTTAACATAGACAAAAATATTATATTAGTACAGCGCACCCTATCGGACGTAAAGTACAACTCTTATATAAATTTTTCAAATCTTGTCGATAATGTTACGAAATAAATATCGCAAATATTCGTGATAGACCCTCTGTCATCTATTTACTTTGGTTATAATTATAAATCAAATAGTAATCATGTAAATATATTTCAAATACATTTTATTGTACAGCTTTTTGCTTTGTATATACTTTTTTTATATATTTGAAGTTAAATTTGTGCAACAATTGGTGCTTTTATATATTTGATGAATTCATATTAAAAATTTGTATAAATTGATAAGTATTAAAGTTGAGATTAATATTACTTATATAACTTTTGTGATTTACTTTTTTTTTCTAAAATGATCAAAGATCAAAATTTACATTGTATATGAGTTGTCCAAATTCATTCGTTCTAATATTTATGACATTAATTTTTCTTATCAATTTATAGTTGATTTAATCATTAAATTAAGAGATTTATGTATATAATTGTAATGTGTAACACGGATTCTCAAAGGCTTGTTACCAAATGCCTTGGGGCAACAACTTTCTTAATAAAATAACTCGGCAATTCAACATCAAATGTTGTGAGTTCCAACTTCAATATCGTCGTATCACAAGTCAATAAAAAACACATTCAAAATGTGCGATTTATGTTCTCATTTTATATAATTTCGAAAATAAAGATTTTATTATAAGATAATTTTGCTATTTTCATTATTCCTCATATATTACTTGACAAAAAGGAGAAATAAGGGTAGCATCAGTTATATCGCTTGATGAGACTGGACTAAGAGACTAGAATCTGACGTGATCAGCCCAAAGCATTGTGATCATCTTAACTATACATGTGAGGCGACAATCTTTAAAAAGAATCAAAAATTCATTTAGTTCCAGAAATATACTTTTTTTATATCATAAGGTGGCAAACTAGCACGCGACCTTCTGAATAAGCTGATATAGCCTGCTGCTCCTAAACGTCCGCGATTATTGATTTGCCCAATTTAACTAACAAGGACGGACAAAGTATATATCCCTATTCCTATGCGACTTTGCCATCTTTCACATTCTATTTGAAAGAAATAGAGATATTTATTAAAATATTAGTGTGCTGTAACGCCACCAGTTGGATTGTATTAAGATCTGGTAAGATCAAACAAGATTCTGGAGAAAAGAATTTATAAATATTTATATTCTGTGGTATAATTCATAGACATAAATTGGACAAAAAGAAGCGCTGCGTCAGTGTCAAACTTTTTTTTATTTATTGTTGCTAAGCAACAGTTAAAAACTTAAAAGTTTTTTGTATTTGTAATCAAATGATTTAAAATATGACCGAGCCCTTTAATTCTACTGGTCCAGAACCTAGAAAAGTAGGAGTTTGGACAGAAGGAACTCATATAGAGGCAAAGTAAGTTAAATCAATCAATAATAAGTTTGTTTATCTGCACCCCATTCCAAGTTGTATTAGAAAGGAATGTGATTCTATTCTAATTGCCACAATCGTAATAATTCTTTATATTATGCACTGAAGCTTTACTTAATTTTATTAACTACTTTCGCTAAATCATCACACAAGTATCTGTCTTAATTAAACTAATTTTTTTAGAGAGTTTGTGATACCAAAGAAATCGCCAGAATCTATTGATGATATACCCACCATACCGGACTTAGATGACTTGCAGGACATTTTGGAAAAGGAAATTTCTATGCCACCCATGTAAGTTTAATTTCTTAGTTTAAGACTCAATCCATTCTTGTTATTTTTTATATTTTATATCAGCTTTTATGTATATGCCTTAATTTTCAATAAGTTTTCTTTTTAAATGTATAGTGCCAATCAAAAAGATGCAGAAACTGCAAACACATTAGCGGAAGTTGGTGGTGGTGTAAGCAGCTCGAGTGAGGGTGTGGAAGCGGTGCTGGAAGTGCTCATGTCTTACATGCCTCAAGCAGAGGAGTCTGATGTGGCGGACACTGTGTGGACTGTGGACTCCTTGCTCAATGAACTGGCTGAAGAGAATGATAATACTGGCAATTAAAGGGGTAGTTAGTTATTCAAAAGTACTAACTATAATGTTTTAACCTTTTTTGGTTGAATTCTGGCTGCTCTTTTAATAATGATAAGAATAATAAAATATATACAATTAAAAAATATATATTTACTGTAATTAAGTTAAAATAATACCGTCCAATTACTAATTTATTCGTTTTTTTTATTTAAATTTATATAAAAATGCATCTGCAGTTTTAGATTTCCAAATTAGAGGGAAAATAAAAACTTCAATGCCATTTTTCAAATGTTTAGGAATTCAAAAAAGTATTGCTTAAATAAAAGATTAATCTCATTGTACATTTTCATAAATTTTTCGTTAACAAGTAGTACAAAGCTCATTTGATTATTTTACAAATAAAAAAACATATTCATTGATTATTTAATTATTTCAGTTACAATTAATTTTATTTAATCAACTATAACTTACAAGTTAAAAAGTTAAAGTATTAATAAATAACAGAATGTCATGACTCTTATACTAAATATAACATTATTACTTATGACCTAGCAGCGAGGGTTTGCATCAAACCTTTTGTGGTACCTCCTGCTGACCTAAACGCTATTACTGCGGTCGCCACTAAAACTAAGTATGATGGTAGAATCGTTGCTGCATACCACTGGTTACGATTCAATAAACTCAGACCGGACACGAGGAAGTGGGATCCAATGACCCATGTAATCTTCAAGTAGTTTTTATCATCCAGTCCGCTGAAGAAGATTATGCTCCAGAATGTATTAAGAAGTATCATGCAGAGTGTCATCGCTGCACTCGTGACAAAGAAGAATTCTGTTCCACTGTACAGACCTAATGTTCCAGGACCAACCTGTAATTCAAATTACTTACTTACTTTCTTCAAGAAATCTATGTTAAATGATGTTGATATTTTTATGATTATGAAAATAAAAAAAAAACACAATTGTCTACGACTTCTAGTTAACAACTTACAGAATCAGCAAGTACATTGACCAGGGCAAAGGCTCCACTCATGGTGCCAAACCCAAGCCCTGAAACATATGCCATCTCCATTTTGTTGCTGCTAATGTTATGGTTCTCAGAGATCTCCTTCAAGCCCGCTTCAGTTTTTCTTAGTAAACGATAGGTGCCGTAACGGAATGCCTCCTAAAATTAGGCAAAATATGTAACTTGACATTACTTAACATAAGTCCTAATAAATTTATTCAATTTTGTCTTAATGTGATAGTAATTCAAATAGACAATTTCTAGATACTTACTTGAATAATAACCGCAAAAACCATACCGAATGCGAGGTGAGATCGTAAAGGCACCACGGCGAACCACACCAGAGACGACACGAGAAATGAGAGCAGCCAAGCAAACGCTGCCGCTATCATGATGATGATGCGCACCGGGTCATTGGCGATGGTAAGCGCGAACATTGCTAATGGCGCGCCGAATGCAAGCAGCGAACAGCTGAAGAATTCCGCGAGAGTCATCTTTGTAAAATTTTATAAACTTTTCATCAATTTATACACAATAGACTGTTTTACGGGATACTGTTATTTGCAACTATTTTCATAACGGAAGCGATTTGTTCAAATATCACTTTTCTAGCATTACTTATAAATTAAGTTAAGTAATAAATGAGAAACTTTTGATTCTTTTTCTTCTATACGACTAAACCATTGAAAGTTCAAATTGAAAGAAAAATATAAAGAAAAAATATTTTCATGTCATTCACTATCTATCTGTCAAATTTTACCAAAAGCTACTCTCCTGCAGCCAATAATAATTTCGGTTGATAACAATTTGCTTTCTGTCTTTGCTTAAAAATTATTTTCTATACAAACTTCGATCAATGATTTCTTAACAGATTGATTTCTTTTAAAGAATTTTCGCAAAATTATCTAAAACATAAAACATTGGATTTATGTTTTAGATAAAACTTTTGCATTGGCTTATTTCGTGTGCTTGCAGCGAAGCGAGAATATCAATATCATTGACATTTGATTGACATTTATAGATCTGCCTGAGATAGAGTTTTTGTTCGAAACATGGTTTAAAATTAAACACATTTATAAATGGTCTTCGGTTTATTGCGACTTTCCGATGAGTGCTTTTTATATTTTTAAAAGACGCGATTATTTTTAAATTGATACTATAGCAAGACTTACTGTCTTTTTACGGTGAATTTAAATATGGCACCTAAACAGGGTAAGAAGACATTGTGGTTGGAATGCGAACATTGTGGTTGTAGTGTATCCACGAACGATAAGAACATACACATAGAATTAAAATGTGCAAAGGATCAAATAAAATGTCCGTATATGGAGGACGGCAAATTATATACGTGGTTGCAGCGTGGCAGCGCTCCACCCGATGGCGCCCCGCGAGATTCGGTGCTGATGCATCCTTCAACTGCATCTTTGCTCGGCGCAGTCATCGGAGCGCCTATAGAACTGACTAGGGCCGGGGCTCCTAAGCTTGTCAAACGTGTATGGCCGGCTAGGTCATCTGCTCCTGCAGCTGTAATTCTTCCTGCTGCTGGTGAGTAACTCTATTGTTCAGGCAAATTGTTTTATCGAGATTAGGTAAACTTTGCTGACAAAAAGTGTAAACAAAAGCACTTTCCTACTTCTAACATTATATCTTTCAGTGCTAGACATTTAAAACTGTGTGAGTCATTGTATGAAAAAAGGTTTTTAACTTTTCTGAATGATATTTTTCTCACATTTATTTATTTGCTGATGACACCTGGCAAGAAGAGTTAAATTTTAATTTTACCTCATTGCATGACATAAAGAAAAATTAAAGAATATATTTTGTTTCAGATTTGACCGGAGCTTGGTGCGCAGGTGGGGGTCACGTTACAGTTTCTTTGCTCACTCGACAGCTAAAAGCAGCCTTTCATGTTTATTTTAAAATCAAAGATAACAAGATAGACACAGAAATTGGGGATGTTCTTAAGGAGCACTTTAACAACATTTTACTTTCATTTGGCAGTGTGCTTGTCTACTATTACTTTGGTAAGAAACTAGAAATTGTGGTGACAAGAATTAATTCAGAGGAAGATAAGAATAGCACTAAAGCATGGTATGTTCTTAGTGAAAATACCGTTTGGGAGCAAGAGAAGACTGCTGAAAAAAACAAAAGGAAACCGGTCACATTGGGTGGTATAGATGATATTCTTGAGGAAATCAAAACATTAATCAAGATATCATTTAATATTGAAAGTTCATTTGCCAACTTTCAACCAACACGAGGTCTGTTACTTTATGGCCATTCAGGTATAGGTAAGACTGCCATTTGCAAATATCTTATTGAAAATTTACATTGTTTTCACATAGAGTTGAATGGGCCAACAATTTTCAGCAAGTATTTCGGAGAAACTGAGGCTACTATGAAGAATCTTTTTTCCAAAGCCATTGCTAATGAACCGTCTATAATTCTAGTCGATGAGATTGAAACAATATGCCCTAGACGTTCATCAGCCAGCACGGAGCAGGAAAGAAGAGTAACATCAGCATTTGTTTCACTATTAGACAACTTACATTCGGAAGGCAATAGAGTGTTTGTTCTCGCAACAACCAGGAAACCGGAAGCCATAGATCCAATGTTAAGAAGATTCGGGAGACTGGATAAAGAAATTGAAGTGCCCATTCCTGACAGAATTAGACGAAAGGAGATTTTGTATACTTTGTTACAAAGTCTACCCAGCAAGATTTTGTCACAGGATATTGACTCAATCGCTGATTTAGCTCACGGCTATGTCGCCGCTGATATTGTTAACCTTTGTACACAAGCTTCTTTGAGGTGTATAAAAGATAACAGCGACTTCATACTCAAGGAACATTTGTTAATGGCATTGACGGTTGTTAGGCCTAGCGCTATGAGAGAACTTTTAATAGAAGTTCCTAACGTGCGATGGTCCGATATAGGAGGACAGGATAATTTGAAACTGAAATTGAGGCAAGCAGTGGAGTGGCCTCTGAAGCATTCAGAGAGTTTCAGGAGGCTGGGCATTCGGCCACCAAGTGGAGTGCTGCTGTATGGTCCACCCGGCTGCTCAAAGACCATGATCGCAAAGGCCTTGGCGACAGAAAGTGGACTCAATTTCTTATCAATCAAAGGACCCGAGTTATTTTCCAAATGGGTTGGTGAATCAGAAAAGGCGGTCAGGGATTTGTTCAGAAAAGCACGTCAGGTGGCTCCTTCTATTATTTTCTTTGATGAAATGGATGCTTTAGGCGGAGAACGGGGCGCGGGCGAAGCCGGAGTGCACGAGCGAGTGCTGGCGCAACTGCTGACAGAGCTGGACGGTGTGGTGCCACTGAACGCTGTTACAATACTAGCTGCTACCAACCGCCCGGACAGAATGGACCGAGCGTTGCTTAGACCAGGGCGACTGGATCGTCTGATATACGTGCCGCTACCAGACATTGAGACGAGACTGCAGATATTAGAGTTAAAATTGTCAAAAATGAGTGTTAGTGATGATGTGAATCCGCACAGCCTTGCTGCCAAAACGGAAGGATTCTCAGGTGCGGAGTTAGATGCGCTGTGCCACGAAGCAGCTCTTAACGCACTGGAGAAGGACATAGATTGTCAGGAGGTCAAGATGGAACATTTTGAACATGTACTGATAGATTTTAAACCCCGCACACCCCAGTCTTTGTTGAAGGTGTATGAAGAATTTGCTTTGGGGCAAAGATCTGTATAAGTAACTGATAATATTAGTAATTTTATATCGGTGTCTGTAATAAATGTTCGTGCTTCGTTTTTTATAGCTTCAAAATTTATTTATTAAGTCATTGGCGTGTATACTAATATGATAATTTTATGAGTCAATGTAGAATAAAAACATTTAGTATTTATATCATTTATTACATAATATTTAAGCTTACAAAATATGTTTACTACTATTGGTGTATAAATTAAATAAAAATCTAATTCAAAATAAAAATAATCACATACTACCCACACAACTATAACTTGTACAATTGCTTAACATTATAATTTTGTCTGAGCAATACATCGGAGGATATACTCCGATATTGACAATGTTGCAAGTATGCAGATGATTGTGAGTTGTCTATGGATTTCATGAAATATAACATATATTGTGTTCTCAACTCTTACTGTCCCATAAAAGGACTTTGAGCAAAGTCCAAGTTAGAGGTGACTTGCCCTTAGATATAAGATGTTCTCGGCGTAAAGTTTCAGTCATAGTTTCTATAATTACCAAAGCCTAAGTCGTCAAACGAGACATATGTAGGTTAACAATATAACGTACTAGTGTATGTTACGTGTGATTTTAAATATTGCTTTATTTAAAAAAAAAAACGAAGTTTTATTTTTGAATTTAATTTTTTTTTCCAATTGATGTTATATTTTGTACTATTATATAATAAATTCTGTACAACATTGTATACAAAATTAATGTTTCATTTAATAACCTCTGTTCGCATGGGAAGTGGTTTTTCATATCAAAATTCTATCCACTTTACTTCGCCAATAGCTAGTTCATACTAATAAATTGAGATTTACATAGGTTTCTAATCATAAAGGCCCTGGATGAAGAATCGCTTGCTCTCAAAATAATCAAACATTACCATTTCCTTTGCAGAAACATTTGCAAAAACATCTTGGTATTGTTTTTCAACATTGTATGAAATATATTTTTATGTGTGCCGACAGTGGACAGTCACACGACGAGTGACGTTAACACTTAATTCGATGGTCTCCAGTGTGATGAACTAATTAAAAAAATCTACTGAACTAGTTTAGAGAAAATTCCGTAATTTAAAAAAAAAAAACAGTTTTTTGCTAGAAAAAATTTCGTCGAATTAAGGGTTAATCATATTTAGCTAGACCAGATTACAAAGTGAAGGCTAAGATTGAAATTGTACAGACAACAAAATCCATCTTTAAAATAATTAGATTCGAGACTAATTGCCCTCCTATACAAATTAACATTTGATTAATATCCTTGATAAAGTCATAAATGTATGGAGTAACAATGATATGTCATATATTTATTACTAATACATTCACCGTGAGTTTCTGAGAACGAAATCCCCTTTTAAAACAAATTGTTATCTCTTTTTAATCAAAGATGAAAGGGAAAACGATATGTTTTATACCAGTCTTTCCCAAAGTGGGCGACAACGCCCCCTTGTGGGCGCTGCATGTCTTAAGTTACGGGTTACAGTAAAAGTTTCGTTTAGAATTCTCCGTTAATATACATATATAGGTCACAATAATTAATCAATTTAATTTGAAGTTATAGTGGTTTTTAAATATGTGAAAATATGGGGGGCGCTAAAAAATATTTATTCTCAAGTGGGCAGTAGATAAAATAAGTTTGGGAACAACTGTTTTATACAGAGATTTTGATCTCGGAAACTTACGGTTACCTCTAATCGAATGTTACTTTGTCAATGAGGGCAGTTTGGTGATAAAGAACTTAACATTGTCAGTTGCACTTTCATTCACACTTGACCTTGCAAACCTAAACCTCAAGGTCATCACTATCACAAATATAATTCAACAAATTTAAATATAACCCGGGAAATACCAAACATTATACAGTATAAATATAAACTAAACTTAACACTATCATAGGTTCAATTTATCACTACATAGAACCTGAAATTATTTGTCACTATGATGCACTACAATATTGATTCACGCCGATTTCAGCCGCAGGTTTCTGAGGCCAAAACCTTCGTTTTATACAGAGATAATGGTCTCCGAAACTGACGATAACCAAAACAAGTACAAAGTTTTCACTGACAAACACATGTATTCACATATCTCATTTTCTCAGTTTTTTTTAATGAAAACAAGATAATAAATACGCTTTGAACACACGTGGAAACTCATCCTAAGTAAAAATGCGTAATAATAGTGCTATTCAAATATCTTGTCAGTTTGGAACAACACAATGATATAGCGGGGTGTCAAGGTATGCGGGGAGGGGGGGGGGCACTACGCAAATCAACTTGTGGCACTAACCGTGGGTTTCTGAGACCAACATCCTCGTTTATAACTCAATATTAATGTGTCAGAGATAATGACAGGGATGATGATGTTTTACACAGATACAGAGATTTTGGTCTCAAAAAACTACGGTAAATTATTTGTAAAAACGTATACACTAAATATTAAATTTATATTCACTATTAACTATAAAATGTGTTTTATTACCTCAGTAAGATTATATCATTGTTTATATAAGCAAAAACATATAAACAATGATTAAATCTTTGTATGTATTTGATAAGGAGGTTCACATAACCTATAACCCTTGACATCATTTAGTTAAGCAATAAAATGCTTACAATGTGCTATATGTTTCATATGATCAGTCTTAAAAGATTAATCAGTATATCCCATTATAATAATCAAATTTTCATTAATTTTCAGTTGTTTTTGTCACATTATTGTTGTCTGCGACTTCGTCTGTGCTGAATTAAAAAATCCAGTAATAAATATAGCCTATGTCACCCCGGGATAGTTTAGCTTCCCAACTGTGAGAGGATTCAGATCAGGTTTTATAGTTCCGGAGCTTATTTAATGCAAACAAACTAATTTTTCTTCTTTATAATACCAATTTAAGTTTTTTTTATAGTTTAGTTATCTTTAAGGTCATAATATTGATATCTCAGCGAGATATAAATTAAGAACTCTAACCGTGGATTTCTGAGACCAAAATCCCCATTTTAATCTCAATAACCAACGGTTGAGTTAATTTTGTTTGAGATCTAATCAATTTCTTTTAAATATCCAAAACTTTTAAGGAATTATTCTCATTCGCTTAGCGATTTAATTTATAATCAATGTCTACAATATTTTCACACTATTTTTTTTTAATTTGCACCTCATATTGTGTGTCATAAGAATGATATTAAGATAAATATTGCAGACATTATTATAAATGTGTAAATCTGTGCAATTATTTGTGTGCGCACAGCATCATGTATGTGCATGACATGACATCATTGTTATGTATCCTTCTCTTAAATGGCTACAATTTTTTAACCCTTATAGTTACAAATTATTGTAGAAATGTTTACTTTTTAACTTCAAATTCGGATATTTATATATGAATTTGCATTACAAAGTTAAATTTGATTTGTAGAAGTCCGAAGTTATTTGTAAAACTGTTGAATTGGAAAGTTTTCATATGAATGGTAGTACAAGAAATACATTTATACGCGCAGTATCTCGGTGTGCCTGTTGTAGCAGATGGCGATCCAGTCGGGCTGGGTGGCGCCCCACTGGATCTGGTTGACCTCGCCCTCTGCGGCGGTGTACGCGAGGATGGGGTCCTCGATGGCGCGCGGCATCTGCTGGATGTCCCAGATCAGCGCCTGGTGGTCGTCTCCCGCAGTGCAGATGTGGCATGAACTGAATACAACATATTACACACTTCAGATATAACTGACATCAGAGTATAAATAAATATGGGGGATGGTGGTGGTGGTGGTGGTGGTGGTGACCTGTGGGGGGCCCAGGCGATGCCGTTGACGCAGGCGCGGTGGTTGTTGAGACGGGCGACGGGTGTGCAGGGCACGCGCACGTCCAGGATGACCACCTCGCACGCGTCCATCGCCACCGTCGCCAGGTAGTTGGGGTCCTGCTTGTTCCACGCCAGCCGCAGCAGAGGCGTGTGTTGCGGGTCCTGGCAACATCATTACAACCTCATACTTTCACACTCTCACTAATGCCACACATCAACGCATTTCATGTATGCTACTCGGACCATTGCTTTTAAATCCAGTTTAAAACGTATTATTACCTCTGTCTTGTCAAAGGTAATGACAGGGATGACATGTTTTGTACAAATATTTTGGTCAGAAACGAACGGTGATTGAGTTAAGTCAGGTGTATTATTCAAATGATAGTTCCATTTTGTCATATGAAATATTATAAAATACTTCTCAGATTCCTTACAAATGTATTTTTTTTTATATTATAAGATGGCAAACGAGCGAGCGGCCATCTGAAATCGCTGAAATAGCGAAGTGACCGTTGCCCATTGACATACGCAATTGCATATGCGTTGCCTACCTTCAATCGACGGAGGAGAGGATGCACAGAAAGATAATATCTTCCCTTTCCATGCATCCTCTCATCCGGAAAGTCCACTTCCACTTCCCATCCTTTCCTTATAAAGAAAAGGATGGGAAGGGAAAGAGGACTAAATTAGGGCTCCGGGACGCACACTCATCAGACTGTACTCGGAATTGCTTCCACTTGACGCCTGTCTTCTGTGTGGTCGTGGTATTTCACCGAGCGAGCCGGGCCAAGTCGTGCGAAGATGTTAAAGCTCGCTCTGCCACTGTTAAATGTATGTATGTTGAAGTAGAAATGAAATTGCTAGTGATAGTACCTCGTATATGATGGTGGAGTGCTCGAGATGCCTCAGGTCGAACATACGCACAGAGCCGTCAGCCCCCACAGAGGCGAACATGTCGCGCCCGCCGCCTGCCCGACTGAACGCTATGTCGTACACCTCCTGCACATTACATATTTACAGTTCCCCGTACACCACCTTCAGTTCACCGAAGATCTAGCACTTTTTAAGTTTTAAAAGTGTTTAATCCAGCTGTAAATTAGTGATCTGGTGCTGTTATTTACTTTGTATTAAATCAAATATTAAAAAAAAATAACTTAAGAAATGAAACCACAGGTAAGAGCTTTGTCCGTTCATCTGTATTATACTGCTTGTTTTTCCACCATAAATAACTTTACCTTGTCATGAGCAATCAGTTGCGTCTTAACATGTCCTGAGACATCATTGACTCGTCCCAGCACCTGTCCAGTCTCCAAGCCCCAGATGGTGCAAGTGGTGTCAATACTGCTGGTGCCAATCAGATTGGGGTCCACCTCGTTCCAGTCAAATGATGTGAGTGGTGCACAGAAGTCAGAGTTCTTATTGTTGTTTAAAACACATTCAAATAATGTGTAAGGTTCACCAGCGCGCCATATGCGAAGATAGTCACCTAGAAAATTATAAATAGCATTTGTGAATAAATATTATATTAAATAAATAATTAATAACTGCACTATATGAGTTAATAAGAAATTTGGAACATATTGTTCATGTTTTTACCCAAAACAATTTTGATCATATTCCAAAAAAATACAATTTAGTATGTAAGAGCTTTAAATAGCAATTTATTATGCTTATAAATATTTAAATAAATCATATAATTCTGCTTGCATAACAAAATGCAGTAACTTACCACTAGTAGCAAGTAGATCAGGATACACCCCCTTACTGTCAGGTATCCACATGATCTTGGTGGTGGGGTAGGGGTGGTCAAATGTGCTCTTTGCACTAAACTCACTTGTCTCTTCATCCAGTGATATTATTTGTACCTAAATTAACATAAGTTATATTAAAATCTGTATTAGTATTTAAAAAAAAAGTGAGCTCAGATTGTTTGTGTAGCGACACTTTAATTTTACCTTGTAGATGTAAAGTTGCAGGCAAATAAGCTTATATAATTATTATATAATACATAATTCAATAGTACAATTATTTACTAATTTTGATTGTGACCTAAAAATACTTTGACTATATTGCTTATCAGGATTATTTTAAAACAATTTTATTGGTACCTTATTATTATATTCTTCAACAAAACTGCCAAGTGCCAGCCTGAAACGTTTGTCTGGTCGTACTGACCAGTTCATGGAGTACAGCGGCCATGGTGCTTGATATCTGAAACAATATCTCACTCTCAATACTGGTATTACCACAATTCTGTGACTTACTTACATTATCAGACAGCATGTAAATTCTTTACCACCATCTTTCAGAAATTGTAACTGTTTAGTTAAGGACTATAAAGGTTAATGTTATTTTTGTTTTCCAAGTTGTTTGTGTTTTGTAAAATAAAATAGATTATGAACAAGCCTTTTACTAATTACAGTTTAAATAAAATAGTCTTCATTTGCTTACTTGTAAATCTCTTTGCGTTTTGTACTGGAACTGGTAGTACTTGAGCTGCTATGTGGCATCGACATGTTATCGAATCTCTTTCAACACTTGAAAATGCAATAAACTTGATTAATTACAACGCTTACGATACAAATTACACGTAACAACATTATAGAATCATATTTACGTTATATAAATATGTCCTAGCTTCGAATAGTCTTGTAATTTCGATTTCTTTACTTAAATCAATTAAATAGTGCGGTGTACCGTAAAATTAGTCCAGTCTTGAAATCTATCGTGTACCAAAGGACAGTAAAATTATTGTATTGATGTCGGAATCATTTATTTAAAATGATTTAAATACTTATTATTGGCACAAGGTTTATTTTTATTTTATCTTTTATCACATGTAAAAAACAAGCATCATTCAAACCAAAAGCAATTCAATAATTTTGACGTATTAGTGACAATAGTGACATTGATAATATGTCGCTTTGCGTCTAAAAATATTGTGTTGAATTTAAGTAAAAACTAAATTCAACCCCACTAATGAAACTCCTAGAATACAAAAATATATACTTATCTAGCTGTAAAATTGTAAACAATTACAATGTTTAATTGTTTTTTGGAAATCTATTGTCTAGTCTAGTCGATCTTTCCCATGGGTATTTTGCATCAACAGATGGCGCTTTTCATAATAAACTTATCAGCAAAAGTTACTAAAATATTAGCACGACATGGATCGTTTACCGCTCTAATGCGAATACGAAGTAACTACTGTAATTAATTTGTGCATATTTTGCCAGCGTTAGGATAGGTCGCGTTACACCGCTCAGGGTGCTGTACTGAAAGGGGCGCCACAGGTCTACGAATTAATAAGATCAATAATTAAAAATTCAAATCTCTTTAAGTTAGGGGCTTCATATCATGTGACTTATAATAAAATAAGGAAAAATATTACTTTTAAGTCATTACTTAACAAATTATAACGTAAGTTATGGAGCATAGAATTACATCGCAACCTAGATTTCCGACAATGACATATTCGGTAGTACAATCAACTTATAGATTCCTATCAGGCGCCGTGGCCGCCTAAGGACGCCGCTTTCTTTTGCGTGGCCGCTCGAATAGGGATAAGTGATACGAATTGCGTAAATTCTGTCAAGTACTTACGATATTATGTAATGTTTTGTTATTGAATGTGAAATAACTTTACAGAATAAATCGCGATTGTTCTCAATCTGTCAATGTGGATATGTGGTGGTCAAATTGACCATAGAACTTTGTGTAGATTATAACAGTGTCATAATTATAGGCTGCGACTGTTTTCAGGTGATTTGCTGATATTGTATTTGAACTATGTGGTGCTTATATTGATTTTTATTAATAATTCATAACATTATATACAAGAATCAGAAAAAGAGTGCAACAGGTGCATGGTTACACATACTACTGACATGTATGAATAGTAGCCATTATAGGTTAATTTATTCGTTTTATACTTGTACTTTGTTGCTAATAATAATTTGTTAGTGCGTGTATCCGGTTTTTAACCGGTCTTATTTATTATTAATTGAAGTAGGTTATTGCTAATGTAACACATGTCCACACACGATTATAATTCAATTTATTGTTTAACATTAGACAATAACAAGAGGGCGTAGCGTGTTGTCAGGTCAAGGTGGGTTCGAGCGGTAACTAGTCTTTTGTCCAAGGCGGGTCTCCATCCGTCAAGTTTTGACAGGTGCCCGCCAATTCATATTTAAAGGTTAGGGCATCGATATAAAATTAGATCGAGCTTTTTAAATTAATCATTTCTATAAATCCTTTGTTACATTCAAATGTTACACTGATAAACATAAATGTAAGACGAGAAAGAGAAATCAGCGCCATATTGACAATAGTGAAATAATTTAATCGTAACAATATAGTAAATTATTACAGCCTTGTGGTAAAGGTCAAACATATTCGTATTATTGGAAATCCATCAATACTGCAGCTACAGGGAAGTGGCCTCACGGCGATCAGATTAGGCGGACAGCAGCAACGGGCAACACTGGAGACAATGCCCGGAGACTGGCGTGCACCTTGAACCGACGACCTTTGCCTCTGCGCTAAAACAATTAAGTACTAAGCCGAAAGGCTTGACCAATTGAGCTTTATATTATGTTATTACACGTTGTTACACCTCGCTATTTTTTTAAAGAATTGTTTTTAATCTTCCGCTCAGTTTTTTGGTTGCTTTATATTTAATTTTTGAAAATACATACATAGTACAGTAACGCTCAAAATCAGCGCTGGCTTTGTGTAACTGCCCAGTGTCTGAAAACAATCCATGCTAAGCTAGCGCTACTATTTTTCTGTACTGGCATAATGTAAACCATACATAAGACGAGAGAAATTGAGAATGTATTTTAAAAATTGGTAATAAAGCAACTAAAAAATTGATTAGAAGAATAAACACAATTCTTTAAAAACAGTAACATGTATAATAGTAACATAATATAACATAAATCAAGGGAAAATGATATCAGCTCATTTACATTTTTTATAAGCATAATTAGCTGTTTCTAATTTAAGAAACGAGATGTACTCAATGACGCATCATCGTATATTAAAAATGTATTTGGTAGTCATTGGTGATATATTGGAAATATAACATAGGTGATATAAATGCGCATACGTTTATTTACTTAGTTTTTTTACGGCATACGGATTTCCTTATTAACATGAAAGGTTTAGCATTAAAACAACTGATTTGTCCTTGATAATTATAACGATGAAATAAAAATTATTCTAGTATACAAATTTAGTATTACTTTTACTTTTAAAACAATAAAATAAAGACCGATATTTTAACGCCCTCCTGCAAATAACAATTGATAGTTGATTCAAGTGGACCAGACTGACTAACTGATGTACCATGTCGTAATAAAAATGCGATAGTTTGGATGTTTAGACAAATGTTTGTTAGAAGATATCTCCAGAACGGCTCAACGGATTTCACTAATATTTAATATAAATGTAGATGATAGTCTGGACATAGATTACTTTATATGTTTTGAGATGTAATACTGGCAGGCAGAGAAGAATACGAACGATTGAAAAAAAAAATACTTGTCAAAATAGGTCACATAGGATGTTGTATTGATGCAAACCTTCTTTTATAAAAAATAAAAAACATATTTACATAATCACGAAAAACTTTGTTAATTTCTGAGTCATATTATTTGTTCATATATTAAATTGATAATAATAAGATATGCTTACTATGTATTTATGTAAATATATTAAGGAAACTATATTCGGATGTAATTAATAAAGATGGCATTATAAATTGTGTTAATAATAAAAAATAAGATCGATGTAAAGTTCCAGGAAATATTGTTAACTTTATTGGTTTGGTTATATTAATGATTTTTATTAAATTGCCTCTTCGTTCTTACAATTTAGGTTATTATAAATTTAATTTATTTATGGAAATAACTTTGAACAAAGATTTAGAAAGCAATCTCCTTAAAGGGTGTTGGCTTTTATTGATAACTCGGATTTGAACGTTGTAGCCTTACTGCAGAGTCTATTAAAAGATAGACCGATGATCTGCTCTGGGCAGTGGCATAAACGCATGAAGGCGTCACGTCACTCTCGGTAGTCACGTGTGTCGGAGGACTGTTGGCGATCATTGGGACAGGCCTACGTCTACCAGTAGATAACCAAATGCTGAAACGGTAATGGATATAAAATAAATCGTACAAAGATGTTAAATCAAAACATTAAATGTCATTGATCTTTGGTTGTTCAAATGAAACTGCACACACAATCAGGTTTAGATGAGAGTACGTGTATCGAAAAAAGTAATTTTGCAAACCGTCCTTGACATATCTAGAACAGCGGCTCAATGTGGCAACTTAAACGCATGTCCTAAACAAATACAAACGTACAACTGTACAAACATACGTTCTAACACCAGTTAATAGAGTTGAAAACTGTTTTAATTCAATGCAAACACAAACTTGCATTGTTCAACTTGCGATGCGGCCCGCGGCAAAGTTATTCGTCTCGGTTTCCGAACGTATCGTAACAAACCTACTGGCTGAATAATCAATGCATTTGCCTCGATAATAATGGCGTCTTGACATATGTCAAATGCTATTCTGCGCGCCAATTTGTAAACAGGTGTAAATTGTGCAATTGTTACGATCCCAAAAGATGCAGATTATAAAAATTTTCAAATCATTAATAGCTTTATGATAAACGTTTTTGTGTTTACAACTTTTATAAAGCTGCTGTAGATATATTTTACAATAGTTTGCAATAAAAATATTTGTGCCTACTAACTATATATAGCAGTACATTTATCAGAAGAGGTCTCCTTTATCCTTGCGTAAGTGCAGAAAATGGAGGAAAAGTGTTGGCAACTCTCCACATTGTTGTCCTAATTGTAAACTGTAACTCTGTAGTATGTGCAATTGATATAAACTGAATACTTCTGTTAGTGCTATGTGCGATCTGTTATTAATAATTCATAAGTTTTTACAGCACTTACGATCAAATCTCCTCTTCATATATCGTTACAAGAATATTTATAAGGTTAACGACCGAAAAATAATAAAACATGAAAAACTAAAAATTAATAAGACTTAATATGGGAGATTGGCATTAGGGGTCGTAACTAAGACCAGTTAGTGGCTCAAGAGTAAAACTATGCGTCCCCTACCGTTGCGAGGTCTTTCTAATGCTGATTTGTTCTAAATTTGGGTCAAGTCCCACATCCGGCTCCCCGGCCCGCCCGGCAGGACTCACGACTGCCGTGAGCGAAAGACACACTGAGTCAAGGCGAGACACTCATTAAAATCATTCTCGCAAAACTAAAAACTTTTCCCACGTGCAGTTTTAGAATATAGAGTCTTGTTTCACTGCTATAATATGTAATTAATTACATGGGTGTAAGTACGTACATACAGTACTTACGTATAATGATTCATCGATCCGGACAGCCGGACACGCGCCGGCCTTGCTTTGTGTGCTAATACCTCAATGCCCTTGTCCGTCCGGCTACAATACCTTTGCTAATAACATTATTGAATTTTTTTGCGACGTTAATACCATTCTCTTTGTCCTTTTAGGCGGACTTTTGAGTCGTATAGTTATTGCCGGATTATGTTACTTTGCTAGATTTTGTTACTTGCCACATATTATGTTGATACGTAATTAATATTTTGGCGAATAATTATTAAAACTTTTAAGTATTGCATTACCGTGGTGGAAGTTTTATTTGCTATTTTAAAGACTTAAAGTTATATAGAGGTGGAAAACTTTTCATAAATAATGAAATTATTTTACACTAACGCACACTTACATGTTATATGTTCTTTTTTTCTATTTGTCAAAATATGGTTAAACGTCTATAATTATTTTTCATACAAGTCATGTTGCAAACTACTACGTGTTAGGAATGATTCAATGTATGCAGTGCAGTATATTTTGCATACTGAAAACAAGTATGGTTCATTGAAACTTAACCTTGTGTGAAAGTTAGGCAACACTTACATTGAGCAGCGGACGCCGCGGATGGGGTACCAATGGACAAACTCAATACTGTATCCGTTTACTTACGCATCAGTTAAATTAAGATAACGCGATTATCTCTACGATAAACAAGTATTAGCATTTATAAAAAAAATATTATTAGAAAGTTTAAATCTAAATTATCTATAAACTACAAATCTAACTTCGACACTCAGAATTGAATCATGTTTAATAAGGGGGCCCTTAATCTGACAAATATTACGTATCTCCAGAGCAGTTAAACGATTCTCACTGAAATATTAAATAGATGTAGAACATAGTCTAGAAGAACATACAGACTACTAAGTTTTTTAATTCCACGTGAACGAAGCCGCGGGTACAACTATCTACTTTAAAGAACAAGCATATAGGCAATAAGTCACACAAATTAGTCGAAAGTTTAAAAAATGTCAAAATAAATAACTCAAAAAAGTGTGTTTACTTGAAGTAAAATTAGTTTTCTCACCATTTTAGTTTATCGTCCATTTATGAAGATAATATTAATTTTAAGTACATACTTATAAACATAAAAAAAGTTTTTATGTTCTAAAAAAATGAATTTATTATCATGGGAATTGCTTAGCTTTCGCGACAGACATAACATCTACGGGTGTGACTTCTGCTCAAATTAATGTTACAGCGAAAGTTGCAAATTACAGTAAAATATAGTCTTTTTTAACACATTGAGTGCCACCAACACGCCCTACGAGTTAACTGTAATAGGGAAAAGGAGGAAGCCATTTGCCATCACCAGTGGTATTCAATGTATTAAGTGTTATGAGCATTGATCTTTACTAGAGTAGATTTGGCAGGATAGGGAATAGCAAAGTCAATATAGTAATAAACATTATTAATTAGAATCCTTTGGCGCGAATGGCGCGCTTTCACTATAAAGTCAAATGTCAGAATGATTAGTAAGGTGACACAAACGTTGACATTTCAGCAAGGCTAGTGTTGCGCCAGTACACCGGCACAGTGTCGGACTTTCTTCCTAACAATACTTATTTTTCCACTTTCTCCCTCCTTGGAATTAAAAGTAGGCGACGAATCTGCTAATCGTTTGGTATCCCTAATATCACCACGTCAACTTGTCGTAGAGATTTTAGTGTACCAATTCACCCCTTGTTGACTGTACTAAAAAAATGATGATTTTGACATAACACAGCTTTGAAGTGAGACTATTCCCATGAGATTACGTTTGTATTAACGAAATTTTCCTCTTCGAACCAGCGAATTATTCAACAGTTTCGAGGTAGTGTTATAAACCGATGTTCTTTGTTGTCGCTGCCTACGCCGCATGAATATAGTATCCCTCACCTTCCCACGGAGTTGCACATAAAACATTTAATATATTTAGCAGACATCTTGCCACCGAAGTGGGCGCCAAACACTGCTGAATGAATAATGAACGCTGCCAAAGTTGATCTGTTGCACAATTCCCCACTGCTACTTACCTCATAATAGTTATTATGCGTAATTATAGTCTGACTGGAAACTGATTTTTTATCTTTTTCAATCTATCTCTTTATCTTTCGTTAGTTATCAACAGTACAATTAACATAAATACGAGCTAATCTTTTTAATGTCTATTTTTACTGGAAATTGCCATGAATTTTCTTCTTGCGATCAAATATTTGCTAAGGTATATTAAAAGAAATTTGGATGGGGAAAAATCCTTTGGGGTTAGAAATTGCAATTTTATTTTGTGTTTAGCGTTTCCCTAGAGCGTATAAAAGTGCAAATTATAACCTACAAATATTGATATATTGTCGAAATTTAAAGCTTTGATATGTAATATAAAATATTTACATGAAATATTTTATAATATGACTTTACATGCCTTTATTTATTATAACAACAATTTTGTCGCTTTTGTTAATAAATACTTAAATGAAAAAGTTTTTCCACTTTCTCCGAACAAATTGTTGCCACTCCGATTCTGGATTATGGAAATAGGAAGTGTTAGATCCAGATCGATTGGTGTCTTTACAGTGAAAACTCAAACGTAATTAATATAATAACGCGTTTGGTGGGAGGGTATATATTGCGCGCGTGCCCGCCGCCGCCATTCTCCGCGCGCACACCGCGCATGCGCCCCGATCGCGAGTGACAAGTGACAGTTGACAGTTCAACCACAAAATGACCGCCAAAATTTACGTAAGTGTCAAAATTAAGTGATTTTATAGGATTGTTGTGTTTTATAAGCTCAATTGGAATTAATTAAATACATTGATTTTATAATTATTAAAATTAATTTGATACAAATTATTTAAGTTAACTGCAGAGGAAAGTGCGAAATAATTTCACATTTTTAATTTTTATTTAATGAATTTTGTTAATTCCCTTAATTTGTAATAGTGTTTTTTATAAAATAGGATTGTGGTTTCAGGAACAACGCGTACAAGAAACTTTCGGATTATTTATTTATGTGAACTGTGAATTCAGTGATTTGAAAATTTTCATTTACAGTTTGTGTGCGCGGTCATCCTTAAACCATAATTCCATTAATTTTTAATACCGAGATATGCTTATAATTTATTATATATTTCTTTTATTTAAAATATTGAGCCATGATTTTTTTTCACAAGATGTCTTTTTTTATTTTAATTATATAAGAATCATGCCAAATAATAATGATTACTCTTTTTCCTTTCAGTATTTAATTTAAACTGAAACATAATTCAAATTATAATTGTTATTTAAAAATGCGCATTCAAAATACAGATTATGTTTTGTGCAGTTATTAAAAAAAAACTTTAAGATGTTCGTTTAAAATAGTTCAAGTAAGGAGTTGTTGCTATTATTTCAAGCTTAATTTAGCTTTCGTTTGTCTGCGTGCTGAATGTAATTGCATTAATAGGATTCGTGGGCAGTGAGTAAGACATTTTGTGTGAACTTACTGTGTGCCTTTTGTTTGTAGGTCGTGCGGCCATTTCGAATATCTGTTTCTAGATCATTCTGATAAACAAACTCGTTTTATATTTAGTTAAACATTGTTACTATGTTACCTAAATAATTTATTTCTTTTATAAGCTTTTGGTGTTTACTGTCAGTAATAATACATACGAAAAGAAAATCTTTTTTTATTTTTTAAATATTTTTTTTATTAGAAATTAACATACGAAAAGAAAATCTTTTTTTATTTTTTAAATATTTTTTTTTATTAAAAATTTTAATGTTGCACAGATTTTATAACAGATTAAAATTTTAAAACAACAAAGAATTAGTGTCTTAAAGTTTTATTCTATTACATATTGAAAGGGACTACAATATTATTTAGATTTAAATTATTAAATTGAATCATTTAGCGACCTTTTACTATCCTAGTAACTGAATCTTTCGCTCGATTTGCAATTACACAAATCATAGTAAGAATACCGGTTTAAATGAAATGCAAATTTTCCATTGGCATAATTGTAGCAACCTAGGTACATTGGGCAACTGCTGACTGTACCTGAATGTACCTACTTGTGTCTGCTGGCTGTACCTAGGTACGGTTAGAAAGGACAATTGCTGGTCCGGTTCAATGACCCCTTTATTAGATTTATATCGAATCTTATGTACTTAAAACGGATAAAATTCAGCTTTACCCTATATTTTAGTCAAGTTTCATGAATAACTATTAGTATTGATAAAGCTCGTTACTAGTAAAGAAAGTAACATTTACTTAAACACATAAACCTAACAATTATTAACAAAGTTTTACATTAACTTTTTAACTAAGTCTGTATCCACAGTATATAAGCACCCGTTAAATATATCTTTACTAAAGTTTACATACTATAAATAATAAAGATATTTGTAACATCCCACTAATCTTACTAATATCATAAATGCGAAAGCTTAGTTTAGTTTCTTAAGTTCGTGTTAGAAGGTATCGTTAAAACGACTCAATTAATCTTGATGAAATGTAACATAGATGTAGAACACAGTCTGGAAGAACACAAAGGCTACTAATTAAGTTTTTTTTTAAATTACTCGTGGACGTAGTCGTGGGCGACAGCTAATTTTTAAATAAACTTAAGTAGCTATATGCAGGTGTTACAAGTTTCAAACGATAGTGAAAAGCGGTGACATAAATAGTGTTAATAGTTTTAGACTGGTTCTGACAACCTGCTGATGTAGAACTTACCTAACTTTAATATTTATACTGTTTTCAGATATAAAATAATCTAGATATACATATTTTGTTTAATGTAAATCTTTCATAGGAATATTTCGTTCTTACATTCCAATGTAGGTAAGTCGAACTAGAGGTTCGACTTACTACGTGAGAGTCATTGTCCGGTCTCTTAGAGCGAGAAGCTCTAGTTAGAGAGAAACTCTATAAGCGAGTAAATATTGCGGTCTCTTAGATTCTCGCTTATTCAGATTCGATTTTATATGTTTTAGAAGTGAATTACAAAATTTTATTTTACAAAGTATTATCCCATCAGGTCAAGGACCAAGACGAGAAGTAAATTTCGTTTTGTTTGTCACAAAAAATTATGATAAAATAGCTTATTCAACTTCATTATTTTGCAAAAAAATGTATAGAGGTAGCTAAATTTATCTTTCGTTGGTCAATTTTTTTTTAATTCTGTAACTCAGCCAGTTCGTTTTAAGGCATTCGATTGACACAGATAAGAAATGTTCTAAATTTAATTAATTTTTCGCATAGTTTCTCACGTATATATCTGGGGATACTTATTGCTACCAGTAATATCATAATTTTTCTTTTAAAAGTTTATGACTAGCTTAATAAAAAATTAAAAGAAGTAGTAGATATCATTATTTATTCACTAGCGGTTGTCCGCGACTCCGTCCACACGGAATTAAAAAAAAACTTACGAATTGTCTATGTGTTCTTCCAGACTACGTTCCACATCTGTGCCCAATTTTATCAAGATAACTTGAGCCGTTCTGGATATACCTTCCAACAAACATCCATCCATCAAAACATTGCCATTTATAACATTAGAAAGGTTAAATTTTTAAAAAGAGAATAAGATAAAAGAACTGGCCGCATGTAAGTTTGCTAGTATACATTGTACAGATAAAAATAAATAAAAAGAAGTAGTAAATATCTTTATTTGAAGATTTAATGATAGATCACAGACACGAGTTAGTTGTATAGGATGTTGTTAATACTTAGAATTGACGTATAATCATCATTATCGTTAGAGGATGAATACTTTCCACAGGCAAAGGTCGTTGTCTCCGTACTCGTTTACACAATAATTATGTTTCGTGTAATCACTGATTGCTACACTAAGGAAGGATAAATGTTTTACATTCGACTAATATTTACTTTTAATTTTGGAAGCAAAAAATAACCTTACTAATAAATGCGAATGTTGAATGTTTGAAGATATCTCAAGAACGGCTGCATGGATCTTGCTAAAATTTGGCATAGACGTTGAACATAGCCTGAAGGAGACAGGCTACTTATTAAGTTTTTTTATTTAATTCGTCGGCGACGATAGTTACTTAAAAATGACTTTTTTGTTAATTAAAAACTCAATTTGCATATGGCACACTAAATCCACTTTTAAAGTGGACCATCTGTATAGGTATCTTAACAGTCATGTAAAAATAAAATTTTATATAATAACTCTATAGTATATTTTGGATGAATGAAAAAATACCCAGAAAGAACTACTCACAAGTAAGATATAAATACGTATGGCCGTCTAGTAAACTATTTGCTAGTTTAACTTATTATATAAATCAATAGAGCACAGGCGATGTGTCTCATAAATTGATTACAGTATATGTTTCAATATGCAGATGACGTCACAGGGCAGTTAGCTATGATTACCTTTTTTGTGTCTGTTTGGTAACATCGCCGCTGCACTGGTGACTACGTCAGCTGATTGCATTCCGCAGTAAAATTACTATTAGTCTAGAATCTAGATTAATGGGGAATAAAGATAAAAGTTTGCTTACTTAGGAATCAAAGTTTTGTATAACCTTTTTAAATTATTTTCTAACCTATTTAACGTTTTAACACGTTTAATGCTACACAATTGATAATCGTATTAGCATTAAATGTTTGAAGAAGATAAAGTAATTAAAATAACCTACAAAATATCTTACAAACTAAACATTTAAAAAGGTTACTTAAAAGTCAAGTAAAGTCTCGAAGAAAAGGCTTTTTTTAATGTCTTACGTAAGATTTCGTGTATTACCTCCTAGATAAAGCTTAATGTATTATATGTTAAAAAATCGTGACCGTTATAATTCCGGGTTCCTAAGCTTGAGAACTGGGTCGTATTTTGCCACCGCACGCCCCGGATCAAATGTGACCTTGAATGACACATTTTAACTTAGTTAAGTTACAAAATATAATAAAGAAATCTAGAATAAGTAAACACAATTTAAGTGTGATATTAGATTTCGCAGTTTTTATAACTGATTAAGCTACTGTGCGTGGAATTTGATTTTCTTTTGTTTATTTAGCTTTAGCTTATTTGAGACATAAATTGGTTCGTGGTTTGCGATAATTTATATTTAAAAAATAAGTCATAAACAAACTATATAATCTTGGAATTATCTTGTTTTCTAAGTTCTACACTTTGAAGATGCGCTTAGCCGTTCCATTCTATTTATAAGTAACATGTCGCCGGCGCAGGCGCAGGTCACCCGTAATGTAAGATAACATAACACGACCTGCGCATACATAAATCATGCGCGTACGCATGCCTGCTGACAGATTGCGCGATGTCATCTCTACATTGATGTTGCAGCTTTTTGCGACACAAGAGAGAGCTTTTGCGTATTCTAATACTTGATACTATTTTATAAAATAACTTTGTGTAGGTATTTGTTTATTTTCTTTGTCGAATTAAGAAGTTCATTTATCTCTTATAGAGTCATTTCTTATAAAATCATAATTAACACTAAGGGCTTTTTAAATGATTTTCAACCACACTTGCGGCAAATAGTTACAGACGTAATCTCGATTTCTATTCAAAATTTTAAACTGGTCGTCTTTTAAATTAATTAGTAGTGTTATTTCACAATTATTACTTAAATAAAACTTAATTAATACAATGTTACAGTCACAATTTTCATTGTCATAAGTAATTAAGGCAATAGTGGTAATGCAGCCTTGCTAGAGCACTAAACATATACACAATGATATATTACTTACGCCGCTCCCACGCTTGGGGAAA